AGGGAAAATATCGATACAGATTCTTGCCAATACACACCCCTATTGGATTTTGTGGAGCACATGCAGCCCTTTTCCTGGGTTTTACTGACTGTCATGGGTGAATTCAGTTTTTATATCCATGATTTATACCCATATTTAAAGATTTACTGCAACTGCATGAATAAAATCTCTTATGTACATGTAAACTAGTAGGCCAATCTTCATTTTCTTTTTTTGCAAAATTTTAAAACTTTGTTTCTTTTTTTTTATGTACATGATTCACTTTCTAAAATTGAGCACTCTTAGTTTATAATAGTAATACAAACAGAGTGGAAAAGTGGGTCAGATGTGGCCTGTGGGTGAAAAGTTTGGTACCTCTGCATAAAAGCCTCCAAATAAGAAACATATATTTTGAGACATTTTCATTAAAAAACTTTCAGAATTGTGTGAAATCAAGAAACTAATTTTAAGTGGTTAAAACTGAATAGAGTGTTGAATAGTTTATAGCGTTTAAATGTAGGGTAACGTTTCGTGGCAGACATTATGACAGGGAGGAGAGGGGAGTGAATGTGAGTGACGGGATTTTTAGTCCACTTCTCCATAACAAGTTGGATAAAATACTTAGTTCACAAAAGTGCAGCAAGTAAAGAGGAGAGTCGGGACCCCTGAACCTCCCTGACCCAACTGGGTTTCAATACTGTTCATTGCTGTCGATGACATGTTCACAATCCTGCGGCAGCTCTCAGCTCCGTCAGAGAGTACCTTTGGTTCCCATCACTGTCAAAGCAGTCCAAGGTATGAGCCCCAGGAGATGAGGTCCCTAGTACGTTTCTCAGGACTGAGTAAGTGATTCCAGGTGAACTGTGTCCAATGCCGGTCTGCCTGAAGAGCTCCTCCAGGTCTGTGAATATGAAGAGTTGTTAGGAACTACAGCTGACGTGGTTTTAATAGCTAGTCTTTTAGAACTCAACTGTCAACATTGTGTTCTAAAAGACTAGCTATTAAAAGCATTCGATTCTAAAAAAAGACAGAGTTGAAGATGAGGGACAGGGCATATTTATATATTCTAATGGAATATTTAAATATTAACACACCCATAATATTCCAAATCTTTAAAATTACTGACATATCTCCCATGCTGACAGATTGCAAGTACCTTTTAGAAAATGAACACCAGGCAGGGAGACACTCTTTGGGCAACTTTTCTTAATGTGTCTCTTGGAGCGATTTGTGGATAAAAAGCGTGGACGTCTCCTCAACTGCAACTGCGGCGCATCCTCTGTGATGACAGAAAAATGTCAGAATATTAACTATTACTAATCCAAGCAAATCAAGTGTCAACCTTTGTACTACTCCTCACCCTGCTCATCTCCAGCAGTCCCATTGGTCATACTGGCATCTTTACCCGTCTGCGCTGCTACATTTTTACCCTTGTCTCTTTCCTGTGCTGCAGTTTCATTGTCCTTTTATTGTAAAAACACAAGAGATGAAAGGTGAAATTATTTTTTTTTCTGCACATTGATAAAAACTGTGTAGATTAATTCGATTTTTCAGGAATCGTATCATAACTCACGGCTAGTTTAGGACCATTCTCCAAAGTCTCAACTCTCTTTCGAAGATCTGCGACCGTAGACAGGAGGACCTGGATCTGCTCCGCAGTCCAGGAGTGGTGCTGCTCCTCTGTCTTGTTCACTTCACTCACAGCTTTATTCAGGTCTGTTACCTCCTAAACAAAGAAGACAATATAAAGTAACCTGTACTTTTACAAGTCAGATCAGGTTTCTGTTTGACTGTGTTCCTCCAGAGACCTCACCCTACGACTAATTCATCACAGCCAGCGCACAATTGAGGCTGCACTATTAAACAAACATATGCGTCAGTGCATAATTATTTAGGTTTTTCTTATGAAGTAAATCAAGCATTCTTCAGCCACACGTGTGACCTACTTCGACTCAAATAAACTGAAGCATCTGAGCTACCAAAAATAGACAAGTCACTTGTTTCATGTATTATGGATAAAAAGAACCAAGAAACAACAAAACCTTTCGTCTCCATTTCTGTGAGGTTGACAAGTGCTGTGGAAACTTGAATACTTAGGTAAACAGATAAACAAATGCTTTTGTAGGTAAAATCTATGATGTTATGGGTTAGAATCAGTGCGAGAAATGAAAAATAAACTCTTAGCTTAAGGCAGTGGTTCCCAGCATGTGGGGCAGACTTTGTATCACAGTGTAAAACACTAACTTGTAATTTGTATTGCCTGTGTTCAAGGTAAATATCTGTCTAATAAGAATTAGTGTATTAGTGTAGAATTATTTTTTACAAGACAAGTTTCAATTATCACTTAAAATAAGTTTTTTTTTTTACAAGACAAGTTTTAATTATCATCTCATCCTTCAAATGTAAAATAGCGTTGTCATGTTTCTGTGACAATTTAAAGTGATATCAGAAATTAAATATGTTTTTGAAATGTCAGTTTTGTGCATACCATTTTAATGTTTTCCTCAAGGCATAAAGCTATAATCCTTTGTTACTTATTAGATTGATCTGCTGCCTTTTATCCAATGCTGTTGCATTTATGAGTAAGATAAACATGCATAAGAACCACTACAATACAAAGATGCTTATGACTGCTTCAATAAACAGCAGTGGAGTCGATTCAGCTGCGTCACCTCGGCACAATTATGCTTTGTTTTCTTTCTCCTACACACTGCTGTTCAAAACATTCATACATAAAATATAGATTTTAGTGAAAACAGCTTCTAGCTCTCTCTGCAGAGAACATAAGAGAAAAAGAAAACAACCTGCTGGCAAAGACCTCAAGTAAAATCTAAGTTTGACATCAACTCATGAAAAATCCATCGTCTGGAAAACACTGCTTTATACTCCCCGACTCCTTTAATGCTTTTCATCGGGCCAAAACACTGCTTTTGACTTCTCAGTAGTTTCTCATAAAACCTGGTGAGTCTTTTCTTGCATTGACATAAAAAGCTCACAAAAGCAGTTTAATTCTTAAACATTAGGATGGAAGAAGGAAAAAAGAGAAGAAAACAAACAACTCTCTACATAATTGTTATGTCCCCAGAGACTAGACCACACCTGTTTCCAAACTTGATCAACAACACCAGCTAACATAAATTTAGGCGACTGTGCATGCACTGTTATGACACCAACTCTTCCTCTGTGCCTGCCAAAGTCAGTAAGTCACCTGTGTGAACTTTACACTATCTTTACACTGCAGTGAATGCATTAATTAGATAAAATTATAAAATGAATCTGATTAACATTTGAAAAAGTTTAACACCATGTATAATCTGATACGGTGTGCTTTAAAAATGCCAATAAATTCCAGGACAGTGAACAGATGGAAAAACAAATAATTGCATGTTTACTTTCAGTCCATACACATTGTTAAGATGATGGAACAAGAGCCATCAAGATGATAAGTGGAACCAGTCTGCAGAAGAACACTTAAAGCTAATAACAACTATACTTTTACTTCTACTGTTCCTTTCATTTTTTATTATGGCAATAAATATGTTCTATAATTTTATTCTAGTTTCATATTATTTTATTCCCATTTATTTAAATTGGTAAAAAAAATGGCATTTAGCAGACTGTTGTTTCAGACTCCAAATCTCTCAGAGGTTAGAAGTAAAGCATATAAAATACAGACTGGTTTGACTTTACCATGGTCTGTTCTGAACCATCTTCTTTCTCCTTGTTTTCAAGCGCAGACTGCATTGTGTTCACATCATGCTGGACACTTGTTAGTGTGCTTCCAATGGTTGCAACGCTCTGGAAGAAAGAAATGAACAATGTTTAGGCCACTTTTCATTAAAGTCTTTTTTTAATCATGTTACGGTGAAAGTTACCTTTTGAAGCTCTTCAACCGTTGTGGGAAGGCTGATCAGATCAGCAGCCGATTTCAAGTTGGTTTTCAACTGGTTGACAGCCGAGTCTAGCAAACTAATCTACAGGAGTGAAATGGAAAAAAAAAGAATAAAAAAAAAAACCACAGTTTAAAAGGCTGTCTACTTTTTAAGGGAAATCACAGAGTTACATGTTCATGAGTCACCTAACCTGCCAAGTGAGTGCTATTTTTATCAAGCACAGTGGTTATTAAATAAATTACAGACACTGTTAGATAAGTGAAATGACATAGTTCTATTGTAAGGCCTGTTTGACGTGTATGATAACAATAGGATTAAAAAAAATACACACACACATAAATGTAACAGTGAGAAACTGACCTTTTTGTTAATTTCTGTTAGATTTGACCAGAGTTTATTTAATCCTCTCTCTCCATTTTCAATGTCATCAAGCTTCCTGTCTCTGTTTTTTAGATCTTCACTTAGTTTCGGGATTTCGCTGGACGATACCTTCTGGCTGGACTCCACTGTATCAAAAAAATATATAAGCATGATATGAGAATGTTTTAAATGTTCTTGCTTGTCATGTGGGCAAAGGGTGGCAAGTTATTCATGTTTATGACAGGATAAACTGTTCGTTTATGATGTTGGAAAAAAAACTCTTACTGCTACGAAGCTTTTCTTTCAGATGTCTTACTGCTACGAAGTTTTTCTTTCAGTGAATCGAGATCTTCTTTTAGTGCAGTCTGCATCCATACAAGTCCTGCACAGGCCATGACACAGGCAGCCAGTACGATGAAGAGGAACAAGGGGTAGCACACGTTACAGCACCGTGTGTAATTTCTTCTGTTGAAAGGAGGAACATGGCTAAGTTAAACAAAGGCTGATACTTCCTATAAAGATTGAGAGATAAAAACAATACACAACTTAAACACATGAGCCGGATATCGCTGTATAATACTGTTACACAACATGAAATGAATTATGGTAGAGCCGATATATATTAACATAATACCCGGAGGCAGGAATTAGTATAAGTCTTTGCAGCCTGTGTTTTAAAAAAGGCCCAGCATTGCAGAATATAATCATGTAGGCCAAAGTGATGCAAATTACTTGCTTTAGTTAGAACCCAGTTAATGGTTAACACATGTAACCCATACAGTAGTGGGCATCTTTTTCATGTTTCATGCTAAAATATGTGCCAAAGGTTGAATTTTTTTTTCCTGCAGCTCATGTAAGCTTAATAATAATAATACCAGAAATACCAGAAAAAAAGAAACTACACTGTGTAGATCAACATCTGAAAGTCTGACATTTTTTGGGCTAAAAGCTTCCATTTATACCATTCCTAATGGGGCTTCAAAAACAGGTGACGGTAAAATCAAGGGCCAGATACCAATGCTCAGGCAAAACGTGTACAGTGATCCTTGCAACAAAGTTTCTGTTTCTCAAAGAAGCCACCTTGTTTTTTCTGTTACTTTCGTTTACTGTTCTCTTGTGATATTTTTGTCTTTAGATTTACCTGTATACCAAACCCAGTTTCCTGTTAACTGCATATGAAATTACAGTTTGAAGAAACAAAGGCTTAATAACAAAGTATGAGACTCTTTCTGAGCAAAACCTGAACGGTTTACAGGTCATATTGATATTAAAGGTGCACCAAACAAAATGTTTTCTTTAAAATTTGATTTTTTTTTAATTGCTGGTAATTTTTGACGCCATGAAAGAACAAAACACCCTCCACTGTCTCTTGACCACAACACAGTGTGGTTAAACAGTGATTACTCACTTGCCAAAGTTGGATCCGCCGTTCAGACTGTTGAACTCATCCTCATCCGAGCTCGACTCGGACTCTGAGCCCGGCGGTTCGGTTCGGAGGAGGCGGTGTCCGGTTCCCTTTTTTGTCTTCTTTCTCTTGCTGTCACCAAGTCCGATGAGGGCGTTGAGCTCTTTCCTCTTCTTCATCTTCTTTTGTGGGGTCAGCGAACCCGCCGAGCCCGATTTAAACCCGACCAAATCCAAAGTTTTGTCCAGTTTGGTGGCTGTTGTCTTTAATGTAACAGCTAAGCTAATGCAAGTCTCCCGTGTTAGCTTCGATTTCAACAACCCAACTGGCGCCGGATATCAGGTTAAACACATCAGTATGCTGCCTTTGTTAAGTGATACGATATATCCTAAATGTCCAGCGGCTCAGCGGTATTAAGTTACGAACACAAAGAGTCTTTAACACAACTTTCAACGGCTAGTTGCCGGCGGGTTCCTTTGGCTAACGCGGCTAACATTTGACACCTTGCTAACAGAAGCTTACACAGCCGCTGGCGTTAACTGTCACATGATCTCAGCCGAGTCTATAGTTACCCTTCGCGACGCTTCTTACTCTCAGAACAAAACAAAAACGCGAATAAAAACAAATGCAAAATTATCCACGGCCAGCGGTTTAAGTGTTCCAAACTGCTGTCTGCTTGTGCTGTTTGGGCAGAGCGTCCCATATAACCTCACAGCTGATTGGTGCAGTGAACACATAACAACTTCCTCTGTTTTGCCCATAGAAGTGACGCAGGTGACCGCAAACTCAACACCGCCCTCTGCCCCCACCCCGTTACACACGCACTTCGCATAATGTATTACTTTACCAACGTAGCTTTACATTTACGATTACACGAAATAAACGTTAATCTCTAATTCATCGAAACCAAATATTGAATCTTAACTTGCTCAGTGGTGGCATGCAAACTGTCCCTACACAAAAAACGGGACGTATTTATTTGGCCAAAATTGTTCCCACAAATTAGCTAGATATAATGAATACCTTTACGTTTTATATACATATAAATTTGAATTACATATGTTTTACCTTTCAATTTTAAATACTAAAATTACCCCCCTCCCCCATATAAAACATTGTTTTTTAAATTATACTACCTTACTTTCATTGACAGCAACAATCAAGTTCATAACTTTGTGCCTACATTTATTTTATATATATAGATTTATGGTTTAATCAAAGCATGAGAGGAGCTACTTACCTCAACAGGAAGGGGTGGTACTATCAATGAAGACCAAACTGGAGGATGTCACAGTTGGCAGCTCACACAAACTGCGGCATGTGTTTTTCTTGTCATTCAATCCCTGCAAACACTCAGATTCCCACTTTTATGCTGAGCTCATGTGAATACATGACATTTTAACAAAACCTTGGATAAAAGTTCATACAACATATGGTTTGTGTAGAATTGCTGTAACTGTTATTGTGTCTGTTTTCCATGAGTGGAGTTTGACAGTGATCAACAAGGTCAACTGTTCATGGTATGTGTTCTGAATCATCTCAAACCAAATTGCTCAAGAAAGGTTTATTTTGGGATTGGGTAAGATAAACATAAGGTCAGCCCCAACGTTCTGAAGCACATCTAAAATAATAATAATAATAAATGTAAGAAAAGCCCTAATGTGCCGCTGTGCTTTTCTAGACAGTTGCATCTATTTTTTATAGACTAACCAGCTTAACAAAATTATAAAATCCCTTTTGGTTTCACTTGACCAATTCAGCAGGGTTCCTTCATAAATCAAGCAGAACCAGAGTGCTATTTGGCTGACCCAGCAAGACACTGGGTCTGGGCAGAAGTGGGGTGAATGTAGTCTGGCCCTTTTGCTCCGTCTCAATGAAAAGGGACTCCCACTGGTCCACTCACAGATGTGAATTATGTTAGTTTTTCTTTTTGCTCTCTTTTTTTTTTTTTTACCACCAGTACAATATTATGAATAATGACAAGAAATGAAAATAGTCACACTGGGCCAATTTAAAAACACACAAAAGAATTTGAGATGCTCCTTAGCTTCTCAGTATGAGTTTAGTCTTGGAGTTGCGAGATACGAGGCCGACTGCTGATGTTTTATTATCCTCAGAAAATTATTTCTTCAGGCAATGCTTGTCAGAGGACAAGAATAGCGTGATCCCACCTACACAACCACAAAACCAATATTATCACAGATTCGCCAGCCTTACGTGCCTGCCATCAGTTATTTTACAGAAGTACAGAAGTGGGTGGTATTTTTACGTTGTTGTGATGCATTTGTTAGCGATGCAGCCGTATCATGTCAATAGTAGCAGAAATTCAATCGCTGGATTGTCTCCTCTATAGGAACACCTGGTGCGGGGACAAGCTTCACGCTGAGAGCATGCGCAGACCTCTACCAGCGTGAAGCTACAAATCAAAGCATCAGAGGTGTTTTATCTCCTCACTGGAGTCCCAGCTTTTCATCTAGGGTTAAGACTAAAAGGGTGACACTCCAACTCATGGCTCAACACATCTACAGCCCCGAGGTAGGCAGCATCAGGCATGAGAGGCTCGTGACTGTGATTACTACAAAACACTTGTTTTTGCACTTTGTTCACAGCAGGGCTACTTATATTCTCACCATGCAGGAGTGATTCCTGCAACTGTTGTACAGGGAGATGCCTTGCACGCTGACAGTGAATGTAAATAGATCTGGCACGACAGTAAATAGTGAATAGAGTTGACTGCTAATTGAAGGCTTTCTTTTAACAAGGGAGACGTGGTGTGAACCCAACTCATTGTCAGTTGGAAGCAGACGTGTGGTTAGAACAGCAAATTCTCTCACCAGGTAATTTCACAATCTTTCAACTGCTATATTGGATGATTCAACTAGCGGACATGAGGATTTCATCATGAAATATATACTTGAGAGGCTGACAGATGAAATGGGATCCACATGGCATGGCAGAAATGTGACACATCCTTGAACTGGTGAACCTTATCTCTGACAGCTGCTGTCTGTAGCTTTATAAAGAAACACATCATTTACAGTAAAACACACGTTTCATCTTTCATTTTTGATTTCTATATTCAAGTGCAATTCAGTTTTATAAGTCATCTTTATAAATTAACTGGGTCAGACTTTTAATTTTTCCTTTTTTAAGTTTGTGTGTTTATGAAGCTTGTGTTTGTCCAAAGTCTACGGACTCAAATCATAGAGACCGCTTCAAAAAGGCAAATTTGGGTATTGGGTCACAGGGTGCAAGTTGTGGTTGGTTTTTTTCTGGGGACCCACAAGTCAATAGACATTATTCGTAAACTCCTGGGAGACGACCGAAATATTTTTTCTTATGACCCACCTTAGGCTCGTGACCCAGCCTTTGGGTAACAATGCCCTATAGGATGAGACACTGTGTCCTATCTTATCTATATGCAGGATTTGGTTGAATTAATGATTTTAACCTTACAAATTGTATTTATGTATGCATATAAAAATGTTTCAATGCTTTTTTAACAGTATGATCAAAACATTTACAAACAACATTTACGGACATTTATTCGGAAGTTATCAAATCCGCCTTAAATCAGATACTATATCCATCTATGCCTGTGACGAGCAGCAAATGCAATTACAATATCTTTTATCAGGGCTGAGCAACATTTGACACCAAGATGTCAAGTCATTACTAAAGAAACCTCTCTGAACTTCCAAGTGTTCAACTAAATACATTTACAGCATTTTTGTATTTCAAAAGAAGTAGGGTTTCTATCAGTTTAAATGGCCGCATCCTCGGTGCTCTGCACCAGTTAGTAGTTTCTTCCTGGCATGTAATAAATATTAATTGAGGATATGTGTGAATTATTCAAATGCTGCTTACTTTATTCTGTGTGATTTCTTCAACCACTTTAGCCTGTGAAGTCTAAACAAATATCAACATCGTGTTCGGGGTCTGACACATTTGCTGCTGCAGATTAGGCCTACAGGATCCGACGGATGGCACGAGAATAAGGACAAGCAGAGGAAAAACTTGTCAGTGTTAGTGTTAGTGACCCCAGCCCACGTCTTCTGTCACTCAGCTCGTGGCAGCTTCTAAGAGCCTGTGTAAGTGAATCAGCAGGGGGCAATGTTCTCACATCACAGAATCTCAGACATGCAGCAGAAAGGCAACGCTTGAGTCAAGGACAGATGAGCTCAGAATCAGTGCCTGGACTCAGTCTGTTGGCAGCAGTGCTAATACGTATTATTCATTTGCAGAACAACGGTCATCGTTGATCATTTTGTTTTCTGCTCTAGAAATATTTTTTGTTGTCATTTGTGCAAAGCTGCTACAACTTTTACAAACGTCTGTGTGCCATATTCAACATGGAGTGTGAGAGTGGACAAACCCTGAACATACATTACAGTGAGCAGTATTTATGGAGGAAAAAATGTCACTGAGATGAAGTCTAAATGAATATATCTTCTTGTGAGCAGTCGGAGCATACATTCTGTGTAGAGGATGATGGTCATATGTGATTTAATTGTTGTCCTGGTCTAGTGTGCTCACGTGTAAAAGGAAATGACAGAAATCCAGAAATCCCACTGTGGCAACACTACGAGGGCAGTGTAGAAATAAAACAAAGGGCTGGTGATATTTGAAGTGGATCAAAGGGAATGGATTAATATGTAACCCACGAAAAAGAGGGACATCAGACAGTGAGCAATTAACCATAAATAGAATATTTATGGTTAAACGCACACTACTCCCCTTTTTAGCTCATCTGTAAACATGTTAAATAGTGTATGTTAATCAACACTTGAATCTTGTATGACGTAACCCGGCCTGCGAAAATACTGATAGAACGCTCATATTGTGTAACACAGCTGAGAATCAAGAAGAAGATTCATCAAACATTTAATTTTCAGGAGCTTTAGAGCTGGGTTTTCACAGACAGACAGACAGACGGAGTTCTCTTTTTTGGTGTATTACACTGAGATTAGTTTAATCCATGTCTGTCAAACAGGTCCCTGTTTTTGTGGCTAATTTCTCCACTGTGTGTAGATATATAGTGGAGATACACAGGCTATAAATATATTGTTTTATTTAATAAAAACAGGAAGCACATCAGATATGCAGGAATAAAAAAACAAAATGGAAAAAAACTGGAAGCTAAGTATTTAAAGTGCGGGAAGTTGTTTTTTTTTTTTTTTTAGATTTTGTCATGACAGGAAGAAAAATGGTTTCAATGTATATAAAGCCTTGAAACAATAGTAATTCTAATTTTCTCAGCAGCATTTTCTACAGCATTTCTTTTAAGCCAGAGACTAAATGGTCTTTAAATAGAAACACTGCTGCGGCCGCACTTTCAGTGTCACACACACACGTGGCCGTCAGTCTCTTTTGTCTAAAGTTTGTCTGTGACAAAGACAGATTTGCTTTACTTTTAAGGACAGCAAGGAAAAGGTTTTTTTTTTTAATTTAGGCATAATTTTCTTAAAATGATCAAGAAAAATTCAATTTTTTATATATATTCATCTCTTTTGGTATTGTACTAAAAATACTCTATCACTCACACCTGTCTCTCTAAAAAAGCATCTCTTAGCAAACACAGTGGGAGTTGTTTCTTTCCTCAAGGATGTGACAGCAAATGTGACACACTTCTGTGTGTGTGTTTGTTTACGTGCATGTATCTGCCTCAAGTTATTTTAAATTTTTTTTCTATTTTACCAATGTTTTCATATTGTATTGTTGCCTTAACCCCCAAATAT